GATTCCTCGCCTTCCGTCAGCCTGCCAGCAAATCTGATAATTTTGTTGCCAGTCCCGTTTTTTACATGGCCTTGACATGACAAGTGTGGCTGTCATTGACCGTCTGGATGTGATCTTCAGAAGGTGCTGGTTGCACGTAAAAGTATCCCCGCAACCTGTGCTCCGAAATTCATGATTGAAATTCACGAAATTGAGGCCGTGGCAGGATTGCAATGTTCCCCTGAGCAGTGTCCGGCTTGCCCTTCACCGTCCAGGATTGCAGTTTTGTCAGGGCATCATCACTGGGCACTGACAGGTTGGGGAACAAAGTGGCAATCCTCCGCAGGTCTTGCACTGCGGCCCTCTTTTTCTCCTGCATCCCAACTAAGTTGACTCATCTAAATTCAGTCAAGCACTCATTGAATTTCAACCCTGACCCAAGTGGGCACAGTCCTGCACCTTGGCGGGCACCGGCTTTTTCGGCGCAGGGGCGTCCTGTCCAGTGGCTAATTCTAAATGACTCACTTCAGCAGCAGTTATTAAGGCTTATGTCCTGCTTGGGTTCTTCTCCCTCAGGCTTGGCTTGGGGTTGGTCCTGCTTGGGTTGGTCCTGCTTGCTTGGTTGGTCCTGCTGGGTTAAGCCCTGCTTGCGCACGCTGTCACGCTTACGCTTGTTCTTGCCTGATGGCTGCGGTGGCTGTGAGCACACTGCCTTGATCGCGGCGACCTCCTTATCGACCTGTTGGGCCTGACAGGTCTGAAGGCGAGCTTTTGGCAAATCAGGGTGAGAAGGAGGCCTAAGAAGCTGGTATCCCACTCAACATGTGTGCCAGATCCCAAGTTCTCATTCATAGCCTTTCAGGATTCAAAATGGCTCAGATTTATCCAAGCCAGTGAGATATTGGGTCAGTCATTGACGCCCTCTCTGAAATTGTGGGTTCCTGAAAAAATGCTAAATTTTCCAGGCCTCCTAATCTTCAATGTCACTTAATCCCCGTGTCAGGCCTTCTTGATGTCACCCTTTGCCGGCTTTTTTCTTTCCTGACACATGGAGCGAGTTCTTAACATTCGAGGAACCAACACTCCTAACACATGATCGGCTGTCTTGGCCTGGCTACCTGCAGACTTCAAGTTGGCTTTGGGCTCCTAGTGACAGCACTAAACACAATTGGGCCTGAGGCTGAAATTAGTTTCAACAGATCTCTTCAACACTTGCGTGGCCTTCCCCACGTCCACAGGCTGACTTGGGCCCGCAGTCTCCTGGCATTTGAGTCTTCTTGGAACTGACTTCAGGGGAAGGCTTTGAGTAGAGCAGTCCTCCTTGGCATCCGGCTTCCCAGGCTGGTGCTGCTGACTCTCCTGGCGGCGGCACGCGAGGGGGTCAGGGCCTCATGACACTGTCAGGCCTCACCAAACAATTCTTTGTTCAAAATCTTGATTGCAAGCTTAGCCTCTTTGTCAGCTTGTTTTTGCATAAGTTTTGCGAAAAGCATTTCGTCCTCCTCTTGCCTTGAGAGCGCTGCGGACTCCCCTTGAAGTGGTTGCTTGGTGTGCGGTGTCATTTTCGCATCCAGCTGCTTTAGCTTGTCGTTGTCTTTGACCGCTTTGGCCTGTGCTTTTTGTTTGCCACTTTTCGGTTGCTTGTTGTGTGGGCCATCCTCAGAGCTGGAGCTTACCAGGTCTGAGCCTTCATCGTGAAATGGCCCTGAGCTTTCTGCGGCTGGGCTGCCAGGCACCTGCTCTTTCTGGGCCTTTGCTTTTCCCCGCCCTCGGCCTCTCCCTCGGCCTTTCCCTCTCCCACGTCCCCGGCTCTGCTCTTGCCCCTCCATCTGCTGCGGGTCTGGCTGAGGTTTCCAGGCCTCTGCTGCTTTCCGGAGCTGTGATTGGGCCTTGCGCCGGAGCTGAGTTGGGGCCAACAAAACATAAAACAATTTGTCTGACAGCGACGTTTGGAATGGCCTGCACGATCTCTTTCTCAGACGCATCTCCCAAATTTTGTTCAGCCTTTTGAGCTGCCTCTAGCAGTGCCTGTGGCACATCTTCGATCATTCTGAAGCCTCTATCATCCTGACAAAAAGTCACTTTAAGACCAACTCGAGCTGCATGCCCAGGCCTGGAACGCAAGCCTTTGGCTTCCCGACTTGTCTTCCGCCTGCTCGATTGCTGCAGCCTGTGCATTGGCTCCTGGGCTGATGCTGCTGCTGGCCACCTCCTTGACCTGTGAATCCTCCAGCTGGGAAGGACTTGCATGCCCCCCAGCCACTGGTGCTGCGTGCGCCGCCCCCGGTTCCTGATTAACAGGCATGTCACCATCCTCCAGGTCATCTGTCTGCTGCGAGTGGCACACAAGCGGCGACACGCATTCATCGTCGGTTTCCGATTCCTCTTCTGCACCCTCATGCCTCCGAGCCCTCGCTGCATTTGATTCTCCCGGTCCTGGCAAGTCAAATTGAGCGTTGCAGGCTGCCTGTGCCCTCCGATGTTGGCATTCGAAGAATACTGAGAAACCCGCTGTCAGTGTCATGGTCTGTGCTTGCCATCTCGATGTCATGAGCCTGCGAACCTGTCACAGTGGCTTTTGCGCATCAGTCTCAACCTCAAATGGCCTGCCTGAGTCCATTGGCACGGTTTCCATCAGGTCCGGGTTCTGAACAGGCCCGATCCCACTCCTCTTGTGCGTTCGCGCCTCCTGCGTGGACAGCAGCAAACTTTAATAACTTAGAAAATGGGTTCCTCCCGCAATTTGTGCGTGATAAACTTGAGCTTTGCCATGTTGCTTGATTCATACCTGCTTCACGCAAGCCACGGCGGTGTGACTAATGAGTTTCAAACTGAGGCGCACTTTGCACCCTTGTTCTTCCTGCTTCTGCAGTTTATGTAGCTTCCCAACGCCCTGTGTAGGTCTCCCTCTATCTTTGCCCAGGCCTTAAAGTCCAAACCAACATCACGTGACATGATAAACTGACCAAAGCACTGGGCCCTGGACCTTTACTTGGAAAGTGGTGCTCCTTTCGCTGACCAACTTGAACTCCTTTGCGATGTCTCCCAAGGCCACCTGCGCAAGAGCCGCAAGAGGAGGAGATCGGGGCAATCGGGGGCGGCTGAAATGGTTTGACTTGTGTCGACAATAATCGGTTCGACTGATAATCCCCAGGGCGCCTGCACATCAGATGACCGGGGTTGGCTGAGGCCAAAATAACAGAGCCATTGGCACGCAAAGCCAAAGTTTGCCTCATCCTCCACCTGTCAGTCAAATTTATGTGGCAGAATTGGGGCCCTTGGCAACATGCATAGGCGCCTCATCTTGGGACATCGCCCCCTTAAAGATGTTGACAAATGAAAATGAGCATGGCACCTGACAGATGGCTGGGTCAACGGCCATTTCAATGCACCCACTCGAATGACTGGCCTTCCCCTGTTCCAAGCATCGATGGATCCGATCGCTGGTCAGCCCGGACCTGTGCAACCCAATGCTCAACTCTTCAATATTTCAATGATTCTTCAGTGCAAATTCAACCTGCCTTGCTGCGATTTTGCTGAACCTGTCCAATCGAAACTGCTTGTTCTCAAAGAACCGCTTGTAGAAGTCCTGGCACTTCTGAGGTCCCCTCATTCATGAAAGGAATGTGAAATCTTGCTGTTATGCTGCCCCCAGCACGAGTCAAAATCAATCCGGATGCGTCCTTGATGTGTCTCACCCGTTCGTGTTGCATCACTCGCAGGAGGGGACGAGATGTGATCCGCTCGGATGGCATGGCACAGATCCCGCGGCGGCTGTGCCCTCTAGTCTGTCAGAACTGACTTGTCCCTGAAAGTTTGGGGCCACCTGATCTTTTGGACCCGAAAACTGCACCTCCTTAATTTAAGTGCCCTTTGAGTCACCCCAAGTCAAGTCTGAGCCGCTTCTCTGCAAAGCCGCGTTTGATGGCACAGCACGCAAATGCACGCAATGCTGATGAGCTTCCATGACGGCCAACTCCAGCAGGAAACCCGACAGTCTTTTTGTGGGGTTGTGTTTGGGGCAATGCAGGAAACCCGACAGTCTTTTTGTGGGGCTGTGTTTGGGGCAATGAAACTTGCCAGCAGCGCCATCGTCAAATTCATCCACCCAGCCGGGCTGTAGCTCAGCAGCATATGCCAGAGCACGATCCATTGGCAGGCCATGTCTATCGTCATGATTTTTCTAAATCAAGCCACTGAATGTTCTATCAAACAATCGTGCACAGTGGTGCTATGTTGGGCATGGTCTTCCAACTCAAGTCATTGCTTGAATGTTCTACCAACAGTCGTGCACAGTGGTGCTATGTTGTGCATGGTTTTCCAAATCAAGTCATTGCTTGAATGTTCTACCAAACACTCGTGCACAGTGGTGCTATGTTGTGCTGCGCCAAGTGCCTGATGGTGTCACAATCCCTGAATTGACCAAGCGCTCAGGACAGGGTCGAGGCCGCCGAAAAGCATGCTGCATTCCGAACGATTCAGAGAGACCCGCAAAACACCGGTCGAGGAAGATCAAGGTACAGGAGGACCTAGCCAAGCGGAAGCCATAGCAAACCAGCCAGTGAAAGGATAAGCAAGGGATGGCCATTTGCGGTTGGGCATGGTTGTCCAAAACTGTGCCATGGCCGAATCTGTGGCATGCAGAGCAATGGTTTCCAATGTGATCCGTTGATCGCTCAAGTCAGCAGGCCCCCCTTCCTTGAGTACGCAAACCATGGTCTTTGTTAATTTCGCACCGGGTCTTTGGCACAAACAAGGTGCTCCAGAACGGAGTGCAATGGGTGTTTCTCAAAAGGGATCCAATCAAATATGTGATTCCCAACACCCGCTCGAACGATTCCCTGCTGAGATTTCAATCCAAATACCAGTTTTCTCCCCCAAAATGAATATGTTCCCCTTCCCCGGGAAAAAACAACAGAAACAAGCACGTGTTTTCTCCCCCCAAAAAAAAACACAACAAAACCATGCACATGTCTTCTCCCCTGGAAAGAGAACTATCGCGAAAAAGTCGGGTGTCAGAGGTGCACAAATTGGTGACCCCCAGCAGCTGGTCGCTCCTCTACGAGTCCGTCACAGAAGAGCTGACACTGCGCTGCAAGTGCGCTGCTTGGGCCCTGCCGGAGACTCGGAGACTCGGGGGAGCCACGTGGCCCACGTCCAGTGGGTTGCTGCCTTGCGATTTTTATTTGCTGAAATGAGTTTGTGATTTTATGTTCTCCTGTTGGTTTTAAAGGGAAGCTATCACTGCTGCACAAATATATATTTCTATTTTTTTCTGGGGGACTTCAGCAAAAAGGCAGGCTGTGGTCGATCAGCCCGGAAATCGGCGATCTCTGGGGCGGTTTGGGTTGCAGCTTTCAGGGAGGGTTCTGGAGTTTCGAGTCCAGAGGGTTCCGAAGGGGACGACCTGGGCTCGGTGATTGTCATCTCACTTGCCCAAAGCGAATCGACCTTTTGACCTTTTGGTTTTCCAATTTTGGTCCATTTTTAGTTAAGGTCCCAAAAGGTTAACCTTTTATTTCCAGGTCTTTTGGGCAAGTGAGTAAACCCACCCTGGTCCAGTGCATGTGTCCGAACATGACCTTCAACTGGTGTTCGACACTTCCCCCTTCCCCTGAAAAAGGTATGGTTTGCGACCGAAAGCCCATGATGCAGTTGGTGGCGGACCATTGTTTTTTGTGGGGGGGGAACATATATCACCCAATGGTCTCGGCATGTCTCGGCCCAAGAGGTAATCACTTTGCAGGTCCTGGGCTGTTTAAACCACTCCAAGACCCTTTCATTGGATTCCCTTGAACGAAGAGGGGTATTCGAACAAGTATTGCTTTTGTTTTCCCTTCAAACCCCCAACCTAGAGCGGCATCTTGGAACATGTCCTTCTTTTGGTTTCCCTTTCAAACTCCAACCGTAGCCAGCACCCCACTGCTTTTGGCCCACCGTCAAAACCCCATACTAAAATGACCAGCAACCACCAACAACTGATTGTCCCCGTGTCCAAAACCCAAAGTACTGTCAAAAATGCAGTGGTTGGGGGGGGGGAGTTGCTGGAGTTGTTTTTCTTTTTTTTCTAGTGCTACCTTCCCCATTCCTTCCAGGGATCCTTCTTTCTAGAAAACCTCTGGAAACCCAGGGAATCGGCCGGTTGTTGAAAAGAAGGATGGTTGAAAGGAATGGAGAAGGAATCAACCCCTAGAACTCTGGAATCCTTGCATCTGGGTGTGGTGCAAGCGATTTCTGGAGCCTTTTCGAACCTTTTCTCTCGCCGGTTTTGGGGGTTGTCACAGAAGCAGATGGCTTCGTCCGAGGTGTGCCAAGCACGGCAGCGCCATGGATCAGCTGGACGACCTGGCGGGCGACACCGCCAAACTCCAGGCGCAGCCAAGCGAAGTCTGGGTGTCAAAAGGTGTCCTTGTGTAGCTCCCCCAGCAGGACTCCTTAAAAGATCTCCAGTTTGCAACCATTTAAAACATGTGGCTCTTTCAACACCAAGATAAAATTGGAAACCAGCATTTACAAGTTGCAATGTTCAGGTGTATAATGTAAGGATCCCTGCCCAGTAGTGCCATTGTGCCAACTTTTTTGGAGGAGGAATCCTCTACTAAATAGACTACAGAAAAAAGGGTACCCTTATAGCCGTCCGGGTTCAAGCACCCCTCGGCTCAGGGAGCTGAGCCCCGGGGCAGGGCTGGGGCTCCACTGCCCGGTCCTGCGTCCAAAAAGCCATGGCTGGCAGCTCGGTCTTCAACCTGCTCCTCGTGCACCCCCTGGTCACCCGCTTCATTCGCCGTGTTTGTGATGTGTCGTCTTCGGGGAGCTTATCCGCTTGGTGACGCTTTCGTTGCCGGTCCGCTTCACCCAGGAGGCATCCTGGCCTTTGGGTCAGTCCCAGCCTCGAGACACCCCCTTTCTTTTGGGGTGAAGGTATTGCTGGCCCTCTTCGTTGTGCGCCTTCGGCCCCTTTGATGCCTCGTTCTCTTCACGCTCTGCATCTGCTTCTCTGGGCGGGTCTACCTGTGTGTGGGTTGTGCCCTTTTGACACCTTGGGCTTCTTCGGCGGTGGTGATGCGGGCTGCCTTGCCCATCGTGCCCTTCTACCTCATGGTGCTTTCCATATCCCTGTGGCGTGTGCCAGTGGCTCCGGAGGTCCCGACTTCCTTGGGCTTGTTTGTCCAACTTCGGGCCCTACGCTTGTACAGCAGTTTTGTGCCTTCCCCCTTCTTGGGGGTGGGCTGCATCGGCCTTGCGGCCTTGTGGGGAAAGCCTGGGTTCCTGTGCGGGGGGCTGGTCCTCTCTCACAGGGCCCACGGTGCAGCGTGCTGTTGGGCCTGTTTGGGGTCCTTTGTGCTGGGGGGCCCAACCTTTCTTCGGATGGGTTGGACCCCCCCGCTGCATGTGGTGCACTGCCGGGGTCTTGCCCGGCTTGCCTTGTCGTACAGTGCGCCGGTGGGCCTCCTTTTGTGGGGTGCTCACCCGGCCTGCGGATTGAGCCTTTGGCTCTCCGAGGCGCTTTGTCGTGTCACGGCCCTGAGGGCCTCCGTTACTGGTGGTGGGGCGGCATGCCCCACTCACCAGCGCAGCCGATCGCGGATGCGCCATGTGGCAAAAGGGTACCCTTATTCTAACCTGTCTACTGGAGGACCTAGTTTTGATCGGTTGGCTTGGTTACAAAATCGATGGGTTCCAGTGGTTTGGATGTGTCTTGTTTTCGAGTGACCAGCAAAACCCAGCCACCTATGATTGGGTTCCGGTTCAAAAGGTCATGAGGTTAGAAGATAGATGGGTTCCAGTGATTTAGATGGGCGTTTGTTCCTGTTACCAGGGCAACCCAGCCATTTTTCCCAAAACGCTCAAACTGCCCTGAAACATGGGACATCACGCCATGATTTTGGGGCAATGCCCCCATTTGTTTAAGGGTAGCTTGAGAGTGGAGGTACTTGTTGCTCGGTTATTCCCAGTTAGTGAACTTTATAGCTTTGTCGCGGGGGAAGACCAGTTTAGTGGTAAGGGACTGTCTGGAGGCCTTCTGATCAGTCCTTTTAGGCAGTGAGGAAACCACTTCACTGTTGTCGGCATGCTTTTAGATTTGGGATTCTGTTCGTTTTTTCTAGGTGGCGGCAAAACTACGGAAAGCTCAGTTGTCCAAAACCAGCCGAACATAATATTGATCATTCCGGGGAACCAGGTCCCATTATGGCAAAAGCCACCCTCAAAAGGATACCGAGCCTCAACCAAATCCGCTATATCGAACTCAACCAAGATCTGGGTGGGTGTGTTTTGGCCTCCTTTTAAACAAACACCGTCCGAAACATGTCTTGTATGTTTTTGAGGCTCGGCACCCCTTCAAGGTTGGTTTTTGTTTTCGGGAAACCTAAACGGAACCAAACAAACATAATTTGTTCGTCCTATTCTGACACCCCATTTTGATGACTCACCAAAAGGTCCATTTCCACACCAAATGGTGACTGGTGGACCAAAAGCACCGGATCCGCTTGGGAGGGGGGGGGGTTGAAAAAGGCAGTTGAGTGTAAAACCTTCGAGACTCGAATCAACTGGCTCACTTGTGGACGTCCCCAACTTGGTGAAAGTTGTCCAGAGTCAGAGCGGTTCACCTTCTCACGGCGGGCCAGTGATTGCCAACAGGGGTTTTATGAGGTATGGATGGAGCGAAGAACACAATCCCAGGAAGTACAGTTCAGTGAACGTAGATGGCTCATTTTTACCTACCAGCACCCGGGTCCCAACAACTGCCTCTTTGGACACCACTTGGCCATGGGGAAAAGCAGTTGTTGGGGGTTGCTGGTCATGTTAGTAGAGTCATCCCCTTCACTTACGGGGAATTGTGCCATCATGCCACAAAACCGCGCAAAGGCTTTGGTGAGAAAAAAAGGCGGCCTGGCAACCAACAAGTGAGCCGAGCCTGTTCGAGAGAAGACGGAAGGAATTTGTCCACCTGGAATACAATCAAAAGAGACACACATTGATGAGTAATGTTGACCCCAGATTAGTAAACCCCTGTTTATTTACATTGGGGTGTCCTCGGTTTTAGTGGGGATTTACTTTCGGAGAGGAACACCCCCATATGAATGAACAGGGGTTTATTCATCCGGGGTAAGCATAGGTGTCCTTTTTGGTTGATTTGCTAGAAAAATAGATGGCGATTCCTGGTTTAATCATCTACCAGGCCCATCTTTTTATCCCTGAAAGGACACCCAGATTGATGAGTATATTTCCAGGACTCCTCCGCAAGGCTCTCGTAGGGAGATACGAAGAAGGGCACTTGGTCTTCGCCGAAGCTCGCGAACCTCGCAAAAAGTCAACTCGTTTTTCGCGGACCGCAACTTGCAGACAACTGTGTTTTTTGTTTTTTCCGAGACGCTCATTTCAGGCCCTGCAAGCGGATGAAAAAACCACCCCCAAACAATTTCCGGCTGGGGAAGATGGGTTGGGGGTCTAAAGCGGGCCCTGTACAAAGGTTTGGGTCACAGTCTATACCCCATTTCATTCAGGGGTGGTTTGGAGAGAGTGGACATCACAGACACTCAGCTGGTTTATAAACCAGCCCAGTAGCCAGCATCGAAGTTCCCAGAACCCCATTCTAAAAGAAGCTTGGTCTCCCAAAAGGAGACAGGCTTCCCTCTATGCCCCTTTGGCTTGGTTCAAGTATCACCTTTTGGTTGGCACTAACTGAGTTTCCATTTGGGATGCTTGAAAAGAGAGGGGTGTGTACCACCGACTACTTTTTCGTACCCACGACTCAAACAAACGTACGACTAATTTGCACGACTATTCTTAATATATATATATATATAATAATATTATTGTTATGAAAGACATATTAGTTGGAACCCGTTGGGAGCCCAGGGTGCTGACCAGATCTCTCTGGATCATGAGCGGATGCCGCTCGGCGAGGAAATTCGGCCTCACGATCCATCTGAGTTCAATCGGAAGAAGGTGTTGGACATGCGCAGAATATGTCTGAAATGCATGTGTATGTACATGTACGCTTATCTATACGCACAAAAAGTGCTTCTCACAGATATAAACATCATGAAATGATTACAGCATATGAAGCCTGCGGTTCCTGTGGGTATCAACTTGGGGGTTCCATGTAGGGTCCATTGCCTCAAGCAACTCAAGCTCATTTTGACACATTGCAATTGGAACCCGGCGATGAGTGGCTGGTGTGCACAAAATCCAACCCAAACAAAGCCCACCAAAGAAGGGGGACCCCAATTAAAGGTCATACCCATTTGGGTATCAGCTTCCCTTCGCGGATTGTTCTTGTGATCAAAGCCTAACGCCAATCAGAGAGCCCTTACCGGGACGCTGTACCGGGTTTGGATTTCAGACAGTTTCAGGCAGAAACAAAGCAGCCCCATAAACCGGATGAGACGTGTGCTGTTAGCTGGTCATCAACCTGCAAAACAGGTGATACCTACGAGATTGAGTTGTTAGCACATAGCTATTCCTGAAAAGAGTTTAGAGGCTGCCCTAAGCAAATTGCAAGCTAATGTTGACCCCATATTAATCAACCCCAGTTTATTGATACAAGGGGTTTTCTCTCCAAAAGTGATCATTCCCCACTAAACCCAGGGACAACCCCTCTTAATAAGCTGCGGTTGATTAATATGGGGTCAACATTATACCAGAAGCATCTTTTTGTTTTCCAGTTGCTTCCTGATGTGTGCAAAGGTGAGATCATGTACAGTAATCCAAGGGGGACTGCGTTCAAGTTTGTTTGAGTCAGGCACACAAATCGCTTGTGCACGTGCACGGGCGTATTTTTTTTTCTACAGGCAAGCCTTGGTCCAAGTTGTTTCTGGTGCCCGAACTTGGAACGCATGCTAACGAACCTTTATGGCGATGAGATGTCCCTAGGACTCTCTCAACTTCAGGGTCGCGCCAGTTTGAAACTGACCCCTTTTTCAGGTACCCCCAAATGTGTGGTTTGGATTGGGGAGTTGAACCGCACCTTGGAAGACCAAATGAGGAAGAAACCAAACCACCCATCGGGGGTAATTAAGATGAATCTTGATGTTCATTGATTCTGGATGATGTTAAGCTCGCTCCCGTTCATGGGGTTTGTCAACCTGTTGTTTGTTTTCACCATTTTCGTGGCAAACAAACAGTTTACAGGACTTTTTCTGGCCAGTCCACTCGGGCGGAAGTGAGTCAGGGGCTTTGGTGTCTAGTCATGGAGTCCAATGTCCAGAGTGAACAGAAGAAATTTGAAAAAGAAGACTAGGCTGCGTGAGTGTTGCCAAACATGGGAAACATAGAAGACAGGCTATCCAAGCTGCCCCCTTTGTGTTCCAACAGCACCATCTCTTCCAACATGGATAATACAATGTTAGGGTTGAAAACATATACATATTTCTGGGATGTCTTCCAACATGGATGATACAATGTTAGGGTTGAAAACATATGATACATATTTCTGGGATCTCTTCCAACATGGATAATACAATGGTACGGTTGAAAACATATGATACAGATTTCTGGGATCTCTTCCAACATGGATAATACAATGTTAGGGTTGAAACCATATGACACAGATGTCTGGGATCTCTTCCAACATGGGTAATAAAATGTTAGGGTTCAAAACATATGATGCACATTTCTTGGGATCTCTTCCAACATGGATGATACAGTTAGGGTTGAAAACATATGATACGTATTTCTGGAATCTCTTCCAACATGAATAATACAATGTTAGGGTTGAAACCATATGACACAGATTTCTGGGATCTCGTCCAACATGGATAACAAAATGTTAGGGTTGAAAACATATACAGATTTCTGGGATCTCTTCCAACATTCATGATACAATGTTAGGGTTGAAAACATATGATACAGATTTCTGGGATCTCTTCCAACATGGATAATACAATGGTACGGTTGAAAACATATGATACATATTTCTGGGATCTCTTCCAACATGGATAATATAATGTTAGGGTTGAACACATGTGATACAGATAACATGGATAATACAATGTTAGGGTTGAAAACATATGATACAGATTCAGATGAACATATATTTTGTACCGTGTACAATCAGGTTGCCAAGCTAGGTGCTTGCCGATTTGGCGCAAGAGCTTTCTCATGTCGGGCCTCTCGTGCCTGGACGCCAAGAACACCGCGGAGACGGAGCTCCGACCCCTGGCGGACAACTGGGGAGGGGAGTCCTGGGCTTGCGTTCCAAGGGGCGCATTTTGTTCCTGCAAACCCTTCAGAGACTGCAAGTGTCCTGCGTGGTTCCAGTTCCTCGCCTGCGGCAAACGATAATTAGATGTGTGCCCAAAGCGGTTGCACTTTGTTTCCAAGCGGGTTCCTGCTGTCACCAAGAGTACGTATGCGCAACATATAGATGTGTACAATGTATAAGACGCGCGTGCATATATATATATATATACATATATATACACATATATGATATATCATGTATAGATACGTACATATATATAGATGTATACATAAACAACAAACACATGCATCCGCGATACAACACAACAAACACATAATTTCGAATGCTTGGCGGCGGAATGTTCCGCTGAACCTGCCAAGAACGAATGGGGACTTGAAACCATCAATGCCAAGGAGACAAACCCGCTGATAATATGTAAAGACACGCATGACATATGTAATTGTCACAAATAGTGTTATTGTTATGACATTCACCCACCGAATTTCCCCGACGTCTCGCCGAAATCGGCCGGCTTCCCCGTTTTCAGGCGAGACGTGCTGTGCGATTTGGCCGTGTGACAAACGAAGCCGAGGCAAAACACAAACGATGCGGCCTCCAGAGTTGTAATAAATTTGACACCCCCTCTTGGTCGGTTTTAAGGCCAGGGGGGTGCTCTGATGGCCCGCTTTTTGGGCCTGATGAACTCCTCTGTGGCTATGTGCGGGTGCAATCTTTGGAAACAAGCGGCCCGCTACCCGCTGGTTGATATCTAAAGGGGGACCTTAAAGGACACCCTAGGGAAGTCCTATTCTGAGACACAGAAGAAACTCAAGCCTGAAACCAATTTTGGTGTGTCCTTTTGAAGGAACCTTGCTTGGTAGCTCCATGCTGCAAACGAAATGGAATCATGGAATCTTTTTGTTGGTTTGACAAGTAAGCCAACATCACGCCATTTGTGTGTGTGTGTCTGTTTGAGTCTACTTTGCTTGGGGCTGGTCGAACAGGCAACCGCGACCTCACCATGTGTAGTTCTCCGGTCGTGAGACCTACCAATTATTTCTCAGAAGGTCCTACTCTCACACACACACACACACACACACGCACACACGCTCGTGTGCTGTTTTTGTTCATTTGCTCTTTTTTTCTTTTTCCCGGGCGTTTTGTTTTTCTTCCGCCGCGAGGCTTGAGCCATGCGCGCCACGAGTTTCTGCAGCACGCCATGCTGGAGTGGTGCGAGCTCGAGGCGCGGGCCCAAGAATCTCTCGAGACGTTTTTTGTTCCCCGAGGAGACGTGCTGGGGTTTTCGACCAGTGGACAATTTTTGTGTTTTTTCTGGCAGGGGCAGCAGGTTTTAGGTGTGTTGGATTGAGAAACCCCCCAAAAAAAGTAGGGTGTTTTTCTGGAGCCACGTATGAAGGTGTAGATGGATGGAGGTGGGATGCTTCGTGGCAAGTGAGCTGCCTATACCTGGAGTCTCCATGGCCCTAAAAGTTCAAATTGGTCCATGACCCCCATTAGTTAGGGTAATGACCCCATGTTTAAAGGGTTATGGAGACTCTAGGTAGGCTATTTTCAGGTCTCGTGGGGCTTAGTGGGTTTGGTGGTTTGTGGATTGGTGGTTCTTGCAGAGGGTAAATGGAACACACTTCTCTATCCACCAAACCACCAATTAGAGGGAAGCTGAAATGCCTATAGGCTACTTTCATGTCACCTGCATGGGTTTCCTTCTATTTACTGTTGGTCACTGTTTGGGGTGGCTTGCCGGGATAGTTTGGAGTTGGTACCCTTTTTGGGGTGGTTTTCAAGGGAAACCAAAAAGGGAAGCCACCATTTTGAAGTTGCCACCATGAGTTAAACCTTCTGCAGAGGGGTCAACAGCAACCAAGTTGGGGTCAACAGCAACCAAGTTTTTAGGTTGGCTTAAAGAAGGATTCCATTGGTTAACGGTTACCTACTCTTGTAGCTGGAAGCGCTGGGAGCTGCGCGGAATGCTCCTTTGGTGTGTTTCCCTCTGTTTTGGCTTTCGGTACGGGCCTACCAAATTACATCATGAACTTACGCCATGACTTTGGTTTTAAAGTGCCCCCAAAAACCCCATGCTACTTCTTCAACCCCTTTGGCTATGATGTTTTAATGTGGAACCGCCTCGCAGTTGGTTGGTGTCTCTAACGAATTTTGGCTGTGGATCAAAAATATGTACCCAATATGGAATCCTGGTAAATGGAAACATGGACCAAACCTGCGGTTTTCTGGTGGTTTAATTTTGACCCATACCCTTTTGATGTCCGCCATTTCGGGCCATTTCCCGATGACACATCAAACCTGCGGCCTCAGAGTGACCATTTCCGCTGTTTGGGGAAAACATGTGTTTTTTATCCATTTGCCTAACAACAAGGTTGTGGGATCAAGGGGTTTATCCCCACTTCTGTGATACAAGGGAATCCCCTCTTTACATGGCGGGGTAGTCTTTGGGGGACCTTTTTCTTGTATCACAGAAGTGGATTCCATTTCCCACAGCCCTGCTTAACAAGATGTGTTATTCTCCCTTGCTGGTTTTAAAGGGAATCTATCACTAGTGGAAATATGATTTATTCTCTTCAGGGGGCTTAAGCAAGTGGAAGTGTTGGGGCGAAAGTGTGGAACAAGAATCACCGGACATGTTTGCCCGTTCGAAACCCTTCGAGTTTTCTAGTTTGTGTGCGCTCGAGTACTCACCTTACTCCGGATCATGCTTATGCTTTCGCGCTCGGGTTGAGGTCAATTTAAGTTCACATTACGTTCAATTGCTGAGATTACGTTCGAGTTGTTTTCGATTTTGTACTTAAATTCCGTTCGAGACCGTTTGGAGTGTTCGAAAGCGGCTTTTTCATCGCGGAAGCATGCGTTTGGGCGCGTTCAGCGGCCTTCGGCAGGCAGTACACTAGTGTTAAGAAAGCTATTCTGGAGGGTGAATAAACCGACCGCAGGTAAACAAATACATGTTTTTGCCTAGACGGTGTGGAAATTGTAGCTCCAAGAAACACAGGTACCAAATGTGTATGTGAACCCATATGACCCCATTCCATGCCCCCCGCTTGAAATGTATGTACCCTCAAAATTCCACCCGTCTCCGAAACGAACTGACGGTTTCCTGTCTCCTCCGTTATTTTGTTTGTTTTTCTCGTTCGTTCCCCCAAGAAAGAAGAAGAAAGAAAAAAGCGATCGCAGCGCAGCGCGCTCATCCGTTGGCGCGAGGACCTCACGCTGTTTCTGGACGCCCAGCTGGGGCCGCTGGAGATGGCCATTGACAACTTTCGGGGCTCCGAGCAGCTGAGCACTGCCGCGCCGCCTGGATGCAGATCTTTCAGAGATATCCGGGCGGTCCAAGCTCTCAACACACCCAGATGGACCCAGGAAATGGTGGTTTTCCCCTTTTGTGAGCCACACCAAAAAGGGTGCCCTCAGTTTAAGCACCTGCATAAGGGGGTGTTTTTGGTGTTGGTACCCTTTTCTGGTTGGTTTGAATGGATAGAGGGACAAACAAACAGAGTGAAACCCATCCAAATTCATATCCGCAAAAGAGCACTATCCATTGATATCAACACATCCAGAACAACATGTTGGGTTGACGGGGGGGGTTGGCCCGGGGTGGGGTGGGGTGGGGTGGGGTGGGGTGGGGATGATAGCGTTCATGAGATGAGAGGTGACCGCTCTTTGGTATGGGGTGGGGTGGGGTGGGGTGGGGTGGGGATGATAGCGTTGATGAGAGGAGAGGCGACCGCTCTTTGGGGTGGGGTGGGGTGGGGACGATAGCGTTCATGAGAGCAGAGGAGAGGCGACCGCTTTTTTCGGGCGGGGTGCTTGTTCGGCTGGGGTGATGTAATGCAGGACTGCTTCGTAACGTGCTCGCACCTTCTTGAGTGCTCAAGCAGATGGAGTCTGCAAGTTTAGCTTTGGTCATACTGCTTCGTTTGGCGAAGGTATCGCCCATTCCGTTCTTGCGAAAGTGGTGGCATGAAGATGTGCGGTACGTAGATGCTCTACGGAGGCATGTACGTATATATATATATATATATATTAATATGTTTATATATAAATTATATATATATGTATGTATATATGTATATATCAATATACATATATATATATATATATCTTTAAATATATATATATTTATTTAACATATAACTATAAATGTATATATATAAATAAATAAATAAAACAATATATATATATATATATATACTTATACGTCCGCTGACAGAATTGATGCTTGACGGCAGGGCTTTTTTTTGGGAAGGGCACCCTCTTTGCTTTTGGGGTGACTTGTTGGTGTTTGGGGACGGCCACCAAATGGGGAGCTGGCGCAGGCGAAGCCTTCAGCCTGATAAAAAATGTGGAACTGTCATGGCAGCGTACTCCAGTTGTTATCTCGGGTACGCGAAGTTGCAGGGTTTGGTAAGCGACATTCCTGGGAGGCATGCTTGAAAATGCAGTGATTCGTGGCACATTTGAGCACCTGTTCAACGCGATGCACTTTCAACTCGCCATCGTCCCGGGCCAGCCCACCCCGGCAACCCATGTTCAACATGTTGTATCTACAAAACACCGTGCATTGATGTATCAAGGGTGTGTTTTTGGAATTGGTACACTTTTCCGGTTGGTTTCAATGGGATACCAAAAGGACAAGCACTTTGTTTCTGTGTTTTGGGACCGGGTCCCCCTATTCTGACACATACCCTCTTCTGACATGAAGTGATCCAACAAAAGTCAGATACAGCTTTTGTTTTTTTCAATTTTTGGTGGCTTAAATTTCAATGGAACCAGGAACACCACCCTTGTGGGCAAAAAGCAAGCCGAGCCCACATGGAAAGTGGTTCCTCTCGGCGCTGAGAGCCGAAAACGGCCTGCCAAGTTGGCCTCTCCGTGTCTGAAGTCGATTCTAGATTTCTACAGCTTGGCTAAATATGACTTTTCCAGCAAACATGACATATCCTGTTCGTGTTGTGTTGGCCTGTTGCTTGTTTCGGTTGTTGAGCCACTTTAAGACTGGGAATTTTGAAGAAGGTTACTTCCTTGCAAAGCCATACTCTTGCCGCTATGTCACACTTGCAGGGTTGCATCCAATGGCAAAAGATGGAGCATATGCAGGCTACAGTGTTTGTGTTTTGTTTGTTTTCTGATGTTTTCTGTCCAGGTTCGTTTAGCTAAACCATCGGTGCTTTGGATTGGCAACTAAGATTCGCAATCCTGGTTGATGCCCGGGGAAATCAGACGTGAACATCGAAACTGCCCTAAACGCCGTACACAACAGGTGAGCCACAATCAGAACCCCGTAGATGAAGGTTAGTAAGGAATAATCCCAACCATATGGTGCTGGGTAGACGATATACCACGTCTTGACGACGCAGCACACTTGGCAGTTCCCAGCCTGCTACTGGGTTGGATCTTTAGACTTTAACTTTTGGGTAAATCAAGCGGTTTTCCACTAAACCCCCAAAAAGCTAGAAACTTTGTGCAGGGGGAATCGTGCCATCTACATTCACCCAACTGTAATGGACTTGCTTTCCGGGGGCTCACTGATGTCCCATGGCCTAGGACTGGGGATTTTCATTCAACCCAAAGCTCAACTTTTAGCGAGCGAAGGATCTGCAAGCGGACCGCCCAGTTCTCCCAGATCTCAGGCATACGCCCCACGTGCGGGACATTGGGCGCCTGATGTTCCGCAACCACTGCCTCCTCGACTCCCGGGTTTTCAGGCGTTTTCAAACAGAAGTCGCGGTCGAGGGGCGGGTGAGCTGGGTTTGTTCAATCTCAGCTTTGGAATTCGAATGGAACTCCAAGCAGTCGAAGGGCTGGGGAAGCCTTTTCTTCCTTTGGACTGAATGGGACTCCAAGTGGGCAGGAGGATTTTCTCATATTTTCTCAAGGACGGCCTTTGGACTTTTGGGTTTTAAACATTTTTGGACCCATTTTGAGCGAGTCATAGCTCCGAAAGGTGAACCTTTTATTTCCAGGTCTTGGGGCAGGCGAGGTTTTTAGATGGGAATATATGCCTTAACCCTAAGGCTTTTTCCGGCTTCTTCCACGACAGCCTTTAAAGCTTGTATTTGTTGTTTTTCGCTTAAATGTCTGGGACCAACACTTGGCCGATGTTTGTTCTTTTGGAACCCTAGGTGTTGAAACCACTCGTTTGGCCTAACGCTTTCCCGTGTTCCCCGATCCGTGCAATACCAAGACAAGTCAGTTGGTGTGGGGCGCTGCTCATTTCACAAGGTCCTTGGATCCGGGTTCTGACAGAGTTCCTTGGAGGATTTATCCCAAAAAACCACCTGCTTTGCAAGGGATCCTCCAAAGCAGCTGGTAAAGTTTCTTTTTTTTGTGGAACTGGACCGAATGTATCCAAGGGGCCCTGTCGGATGAAGCCCTGGCTGGCGATTGCAGCGACAAAAACACTGCCAGGCCCCTGTGCTTGGCTGCCTATGCACTGGTCCACGAGGCGCCTGTCGATCTGTCGATCCCCGATGCCTGGGCAAGTTTAGATTGGGTATTCCCAAGTCAATTGCTGAGAAGCAGGGTTGTGGGATCACTCGGGGTTTATCCCCACTTCTGTGATACAAGTTGGAATCCCCTCTTTAAATTGCGAGGTAGTCTTTGGGGGACCTTCTTATATCACAGAAGTGGGCATTTCCCACAGCCCTGCTGAGAAGCCCAGCTTCAGGAAACTCGACGGTTCTTTCCCCCCAACCCGGAGAAAAACAGTATGTGGAAAACAATGTGAAGCAACCCCGAAACAAATGGTACCCACAAAATACAGAGAGGCCCATCTGGTCCAAGGCATGCTTACCGACTTTCCTATTTCTTCCTTGGCCAAGCCCCATCAGCACCGAGGAGGGGCAAGGACAAGCGGTCCTCTTGAAGGTTCGTGTCAAACGTGGCTGAGAGAAGGAACTGGATTTCGTCCGTGGAGTTTGGAACGTTGGAGCCAAGCGGAGTGAGAAGTTAGGTCTTCATCTTGTTCCCTCCTGGTGTTTTTGGTCTGTCTTTTTTAGGGGATTCCGCAAAATGGTCGTTGTCTTTTGGTTGCCCTTTGAAGCTATCAACACGGGCTACCCTCAAGAAATGATACACCCTTTTTAGGGGCCCCGATTGTTTGGAGGTCCCAAACAATCATGATCAGTGCCAAATTGGGGTCCACCCCCTTCCATTGATAACCCAATATGTTCTAGGGATTGGAGTCAACCATTGTAAGTGGCCAATGATGGAACCGCAATCATGTCCAAGACAAGGAGCTAGTTTATGGCATAGTGATTCAGAGCTGTAGCAAGGGTTCCATTTGTTGATTGGCTCCCGGTAAACTTAAGCCCAATGTTGATGTGTTTAAAGGGAGAACTTGGGTTTTGTCTACCGGTGGGCAGCCAAAGAATGGGCATGGGTCAACATAAGGGACCCCCCAATACAACAGGCTTCCCCTTTGGTTTCCCTTTGACACGACCCCACAACACACGCAAATCGCCTCCATTGGCATGAGAGGGACCGAAGGCTGCACGAAGAGGTTGCGTGAGTGTATGTGCGAACGGGGCCATGTTCATCCAGTTTCTTGTGCTGTGGTTCTAGTGTTGTAGTGGTGTCCCATCGCGGATTTCGGATTGAAGTTCGGGATCCCCCCATTTGGAGCAACCCAGCATGCTAACATACGGAAGGCGAGCACTTGTCCGCAAATGGGAATGTGCCATGCCCGAATGATATCGCATGGCCTTCTCCGGAAGTAGGGATGATTCTGGAAAGAACCGCGCATGTCTCATTCTCCAGTTGGTGAGCTTTGACCAATTTTGGACTTCTTGCACAAGAAAACAGGGTACCCATATTCTATCCTCTACTAGGACCTAGTAGATCTGTGGGAAGCTGCATTTGCCCAGATCAGCCGGGCCAAGAAAGTGCCGGACGCCAGCGACAGTCTGACGGCATCTTGGACGAAGCGTGTCCGCCGGCGGCTTGATGCAAACGTTTTCCATCAAATCGATGAACAGTTGAAGCACCCCGCAAAAGGTTGTCTTTGAACCGGTAAATTAGGTCATATAAATTCATATAAGTTATGCGCTTAAATGTTTGGAATGGGGTTGTGGAGTACCTTAACAGCAGCTTCAGTCATGATTCTAGCGGTGGACTATTGGTCATTGGTTGGCGTCCCTTAGAATGTGAACCCTGAACAAGTTGCTACATGACATTGCCGTCTAGGAAAACTCACCTGTTTGGCCCTTGTGTCCTTTTGGGTGTGCTTAACTTTCCCTACCAGCACAAGAACCGACTTTTTGCAGGGGTAAGCCTGATCAAGGGAAGGGGTACACGCCTAGTCCCCTTGGGAAAGCTGCTACACCAGGGTGAGAGTAGATGGCATAAGATCCGTTAAGGGGATCGATCAACACACATGAGTTGACATCGTGCTATCTACTTTCACCTATTTCTCATATCCTCCATATTTGTTTCACCCCACCTAAGACTACCTAGCCGAACCCACCCAACGGAAGTATACTCAAAGCCAACCCTACCTAACCTAACCTAGCCTGAACCCAATCTAGCCCTGCCAATCCTGAGTCTACCGAACCCAAGCTAGGAGCTCACTCAACCTATCCTAACTTACCATGTGGTACTGTCTCTTTTCGGGGGTCCCTCCAAGATTCTGAGTTTCCTTTTAGTTAGTTTCGCCTCAACGCCACGACACAAAAAGGTTCCAACTCCGGAGGAACACTCAAATCAACTCATGCAAAGTCTTAGACTCTGATCTTGTTGGTTCTCAGCAGGGTTTCTGTGGGAATGCCCCGTAGCCATCCCTGTGGTTTCCTTTGGGGAAATCCTAGGTTCACTCATTCCCCACCCGGACTCCCCAATTCATTCCCTACCGACATCGCACCAAGCAATGGAACCCTGCCATGGAACCCATTCATCTGCCAGAGGTTACTGTTATGAACTTCATAGCTTCCCCTCTCACCCTAGACGCAAGCCAGCCTTGTCCTCACTTTGGTGCATTATGCTTGGATGTTAGGACTTTAACTTTTTGCCAACTAATGGGTTTTCCGTATTAGACCACTAAAAGTTATTCACTGTTAGCAGGGGAGCAGAAAGCAACCCAGCCAAAATGTGTGTGTGTGTGTGTTTTTTTGGAGTTGGTACACCTCTTTTGGTAGTTTCAAAGGGAAGCCAAAAGGAACAATCGACCGCTGACCACTCGCCCCCTCGCGTTGTCGCGGTTTCGCGTTTTCGCCCGAGGAGCTGCTGGAGCAGTTCCATGAGATGCTGGCGGCCTGTGATGTCGCGGATGACCACCTCTCCGCTTCCAAGAACACCAAGGATGAGAATGATCTGATGGCTGCATGTTTTTTTTGTTTGGTTTGTGGCGACCATGTGCTTGATTTACAGCCCAACAAAGATGATTGGAGTAAGTGTGTGGTTTTTTTCTTTGCTTTTCTTGTTCGTCTCGAAAAGACAAACACCCAAGAAGCAAATACCCGCGCAAAAAGAGGACAGACCCAAGAATGGCTGGAAGTTGTCCTTTTGGCTTCCCTTTATTCAGCCAGAAAAGGGGTATCACAACAGGACACACCCATAAATTCAAGGTACAACCCCACCGTCTAACATATAGGGGAGGGGGTAGGAAATTTGAAGGGGATCAAAGCCAAAAGGCAGTTCCCTTTTTCTAGTCGTTGAGATGCCCTGGCCCACTTTGTTGCTATTCCACTGCCATTGGTGCGTCTCAAAACATGCTAGAACACCCACCTTCTGCAGATGGACAAAACCTACGCCAGTTTAGACGGATGAACCCTCGTTAGTACTGGGATAAACCACCTAGCAACTGCTGGATTTTGTCCATCCACAGAAGAACTACCCAAGAGAAATCAGATAAATTGCACCAATGGCTCATTTTCTTTGCACCGCGAGATGGATCATGACTAGGTCCCCCAGCTGGGTGCCCTTTTACCGTTTCTTTTTTGGGGGGAGGGTTCCCCTACCAGAACTCGACTACAGAAAAAAGTTGGTACCAACTTATTCTAACCTCTCTGCTGGAGGACCTAGAAGTAGTCCTCTTCTGAGCAGCTTGGTCAAGCTCGCAGAGCAGACGTCCTTCCTAGAAATGGCCATGGGTCCAAATCCAAATCGTACCCCCAGTCCAACCTCTAAAATAGGTCCTAAAATGGGTGGTGAATTCACCTACCCACCAAAAAGGGATCAACCACAACGGTTGTGACCCCAGCCAAATGACACGAACTGCCCCGTCGGGAAACAGTTTACATTTTTGCTTGTTGTGGTTTTTTGGTTGAAATCCAACCACTTAGCTGCTAAAAATTTCAATTTGTTGCCCCAAACCAAACTTCAATCAAGTCGAAGACATGGATCATGCACCCCGCGAAGCCCGGGCAATCTCCGTCCGGCCAGGAGTCCTACGAGCAGAACTTGGTGGCGCCCATCTCCGCCGCTGTGGAGCGCTTTGGCGAGAAGGAGATCCCGGAGACGAGTCACGACCTTCGGTGCCGTGGGTTTTTTGTGGCCTGCTTGGTTGGTTTGTTTCTTTTAGTTTTGTATTTTATGTGCTGTTTGTCGTTTTTTGGGTCCTTCGATATTTTGGTTGTGGTTTATGTTGTTCTTTATTGCTTTGTTTGTTGTTCTCTATTGCTTAAGTTGCTTCCTTAGTGTGTTCCTTCTTTTGTTCTTTATTTCCGTGCTGGCTTCATTGTTTTCCTTTCTGTACTGAATTATTGTTTTGTGCTTTGTTTGATTGCTTGCCTGTTTTCTTTGTTTCTGCGCTGGTCTGCTTGTTTGCTTGCTTACTTGATTGCTTGTTTGTTTGTGTGTGTGTTCCGTTTAGTTACGTGAGTTATGCGAGTTGTTTGTGCCTGTTTCGTCGCGTTATACAATTGAGCTTCGCTTAACACCCTTCTGTGAATGTTTAGTAAAGGCCTTGCAGCAACATAGGTGCTCATGGTGCGTAAGCGCGAGCGCGTAAGCGTCTTGTTACGAGTATCCTTGTGTAAGCTGCGTGTCAGCAACTCGTACTGCAAAGTTGCCACTTTTGAGGCGGAGCTCGAACCTCCATGCCTTGTATCACAGTGCTGGCCATGTTACGGTGGAAGTATACAAAGCAGTACACTTGTACAGAAAAGTTACGATTTGCGAGCTGCCACTTCATGTACTACTCCGGTACTGAATCGCACTTTGGGCGCCATGTTCGCGCTAGACAGGCCTCGCGTAAGCTATCGCTGTGGCGGCTAAGCACGGCTTGCGAAAGCCTCGCGACAGCTTTGCCATTCAACACTTCTGCACATAGGCTGATTGTGTGCGCGCGAAAGCGGCTGCTTCTGCTGCTGCTGTTGTTGTTGTTGTTGCTACTGCTGCTGCTGCTGCTGTTGCTGCGTCTTTGGTGTGTTTGATGCTGTTCCGTCACGTGTGATTTGGTGTTGGCGTTGTTTGTGTGTGCGCGTGCGCGTGTGCGTGCGCTTGCGCGTGTGCGCGTGTTCTGTTGGTGTCTTGTGCTCTTCGTACTCCGCTGTTTTGCTTTTTAACGTTTACTCCCAGAAGCCTGCCCTGTGTGTTTGTCGTGGGTTCCTCTGCATGCCGCTTGTTGATGTTTGGACACGCATGTTTGTTTGGTTGTACGTTTGTTCCCGCAAGCAGTGCGAACAGTTCTTCAGGAAAGACTTGGAGCCGATGGCACCAGCAAGTGTCACTCTTGCAATTAGCAATACTTGTAGCAGGTAGCACCAGCGAGTTGCAATAGCAACTTGCATAGCAAGCAGCACTAGCGAGTCGCACGATCAAGCTGCACAAAGGGGTTACTGTAGCTGCAGCAGCAAGTTGCATAAGAGATTGGCTCGAGTGGTTGGGAATGTCTTACACTACGTAGATAAATGTCTTGTTAAAATGTGTTATAAATGCGCGTGGGAAGCAAATAATCCTCCTTCTTCTCATTTGTTCTTTCTCAGTGACCCTTGCCAAAAAAAACAACGATTTTTGCGACCGCAGGTTTGGTCACTTTCCGCTTGGGGAGGGTAATGGCTGAAAAAGATTTGCTCGCCAGGATATCAGAGGGCATCCTTCCCGAGACACGGAACGAGAGCGAGGCGCGCGCCGGTCGCTATGACTGGGATTGTGCTTTTTTTGCAAAGACCATGTTAGCGGTAAGCAACAAGTCTGCAGGCTTTGTCTGACCAATCCACCTGGGAAGTTCCCAAGATGCAACAGGTAAACCTTGAACCCATGAACTTGGGTGCTTTGCCAGCTCCACTGCTTTGCGTCTTGGACCTGTGCCTGTTTTCCCCACTGTGGGCAGTTGCGTTCATGCCAATACCAGGACGACCGCTCAATTGTGCGGGGCGGTTTGTGGGCACCGCAATTGAGGATGTCATTGCAAGGGTGGCGAAAAGTTTACTTGCCGAGCAGAGCCCATTGACTTGCACCGCAAGAGTGGCCGACCAGTTGTGACTCTCAGGGCGAAGAAGAAGTTGCCTTAAGACCATGGGAATGGACGAGGGGTTTCATTTGTCCACTCCCCTTGATCCCATGCGCGCCGGCCACAAGCCCCGTGCGGCTTCTATGGATCCAATGACCCAAAGCTTCGGGCACGCGCAGGCAAACGGCGGGGCTTTCACTGCAAGTGACGCGATTCGGACAGAACGGGCGACGAAGTGACGTGCGGCGTGTACATAGTGGCGATCCTGTCGGCTCATCAGTTTTCCCGTTTGAACGGGTTCCAGGCGAAACATGGCCCACCCAAGAAATGGGTCAAGTTGTCTACCCGAACACATGGTTGAACTTGTTTTCTTTTTGGTGGTGGCTCGAGCCAAAACTGCAGTTTAGAGCTCAGACGTTCAATTCTCACTGGATACACCCCAAAGCACAGTGTAGCATAGAGTAGGTTGGGTTCGCTTCACAGCCATTGGGAATGGTTTTGCTTGTTAGCATTTTCTAGCTGATGGATACTCAAGCAAACACAGCAAACTGGCAACTTGTTCTACAGCGGGATTCAGAGTCTATAGCTGCAAGCTGGTTCTCACATTCGATAACCCTTGGCCTCTTTGCCTACGTTTGTATGGCATGTATACCGGAATCATGGGTCAATGGAAAGCATGATGTGGGTGTGGGTCAAAATTAAACCACTAGGCGACCGCAGGGTTTAGTCCATGTTTCCATTTACCAGGGTTCCATTTTGGGTGCCCATTTTTGACCCACAGCCACATGTGTTTGCGCCGGGGATATGTTGTTAATCCTTCACACGACATTGGTACATGATGTGTTTGGGATGACATAGGGCCTGCCTCGTTTCACCCAGAGTGTCAGTGTGAGGAACAAGTAGGTCCGTTCTTGTTCAGTGTTGCCGGTTTAGCATCAATGGTGTGTAAGAGTGGCAGAGTCGACCGCCCAGCTACTATATTGTCCCAAAACTGATGATCCAAACCTGACAATGCCGCATGCCCTTTTGGAGCAGCCAAGTCTCGATCGCAACTCAAATGAGCTTGGACCCCCAAAGATCTGTTTGAGTCTTACGAACATACTTTCTCAGCGACTATGTCATATTTCTTCTTGATCAATGCTTGGTTTCTTCTTTTCTCAGCGCTATCGTCCTACATACATCGCACATATGGCTGTTGTGTGTGTGTGTGTGGTGTGTGTGTGTGTGTCTCTGTGTGTCTCTGTGTGTCTCTGTGTGTCTCTGTGTGTCTCTGTGTGTCTCTGTGTGTCTCTGTGTGTCTCTGTGTGTCTCTCTGTGTCTCTCTGTGTGTCTGTGTGTGTGTGTCTCTGTGTGTTTCTGTGTGTCTCTGTGTGTCTGTGTGTGTCTGTGTGTGTCTCTGTGTGTCTCTGTGTGTCTCTGCGTGTCTCTGTGTGTCTGTGTGTGTCTGTGTGTGTGTCTGTGTGTGTCTGTCTGTGTGTGTCTGTGTGTGTCTGTGTGTGTCTGTGTGTGTCTGTGTGTGTCTCTGTGTGTCTTTGTGTGTCTCTGTGTGTCTCTGTGTGTCTCTGTGTGTCTCTGTGTGTCTGTGTCTCTGTGTGTCTGTGTGTGCGTCTTTGTTGGCTTGCTTGCTTGCTTGGCATAGATCTGCTTTTGCACTCATTTCGCACATAGATTTACACATGGGCTGATGAATACGCGCGGCAGGTGCGTATAGTGGATTCCAAGCTATCACATGCGGGAAGCATACGTTCTTCCTCACGGTTAGACGACTCGCAGTGGGGAAACTGGAGGGTGCAGGTGCATTGCCAAGAGCTGACGGGTGACGGTCTCTGGAGCTTTCGGACTTATGCTTTGGGCCCCGCCCACTAGAGGGTCATGACATTTTGGATCCGCGAATTAAAACGGTCTTCCCAATCCTGGCGACTCTAGTGTTTGGGGGCAGGCTCAAATGCTCGCCATTTCAAGCGGACGGTGAATCCGCCATTTCCATCGACGTTTGCGATCGGCGCGTCTTGCAGATGCCCTCCCTCGTTCCGCGTTTTGCGCGTTCCCTGGATTTTCGGCCGCGCGGCAGTTTGCCTGTCAGTGAGGCTCTGGCTTAAAAGGAGGAGGTTTCGGGGTGGGGCTCAAAACCTTGTTTGGCCGAAGTAAGAAGTTCCACTCCCCGCATTCATTAGTGGGGACGAGAGCATGGCGCTTTTTCTGAGTGTTTCTCAGAATGGGGCGCCCCACCTTGTTGGTGTTAAAAAGAAACCGAAAAGGAAACGAACCATTGTAGCGCAGTAAGAGAAACCCCCACGTGAGGCTTTATAGCTATGTGGGTAGATCCAACGGCGCTGCCATCAGGCAATGTGTGAGAACTTTGTTTTGATGAGTTGTTTTTTCTCACATCTCGAATCATAAAGACACACCACATCACGGGGTACTTGATGAAAGCCCCCTGACTTCGCTGACTTGGGGTGCCATATTCCAGCTTTCCCGGATGGAGAGCTGCCGCAAAGTGAAGGGCTGATCTACAAGAACTGCTACTGACAAGTTGCTTGGGGATTTGTGGAGATTGGGTGGGCCAGTTTCCCCGCGGACTAAAGAGTCCAACTCGTGCAGTAGTCACCTCAACTCACTTTAGGCACAGGATGCCTGTGCCGGCCCCTGTGAGTGGTGAACTAAAGGTAAGCTTCTTAGAGAGACTCATTGTTGGGATTGGGGGTTGGAAGGCACATGAGTTTATCTATGTAACCAGAGCATGTCTTTGGTGAATTTTGCTTGGATGTGAGGACTTTAACTTTTTGCCAACCAATGGGCTTTCCATTAAAACACTAAAAGTTAAACTTGTAGCAGGGGAGCAGAAAGCAACCGAGATGTGCCGACGGGACATGCATATGTGGAAAGGGTCTGTTTGCCTGATGTTCCTTGGTATAATTGCTTGGACTCTGTCCTTATCAGATGTACACAGCCAACCTAGCTGGTTTCGTAGATTAGCAACAGCTGATAGTCACCATGAGTTGCTATGGCAAAGGAATTGATATTGGCTGCACTCACCAATAATGCTTGAGGGACTTGTCGGTCACTTCCGGATCAGGTTTCACTCAGGGCAATGAGTCTGAATATGTTCGGAAAAGAGGGGCACGCTCAACAATGTCAGAAGTTTCCGGTTGGTTTTCCGTTAGATATACACCTTTGCAAGCTACCAAGAACTCCCAAACCCCTCATTCAAACAGGATACTCCTTGTGGACCATTTTTGTTCTGGGTTCCATATGAATTGCAAGGCCTGCAAATTAACGAAAGGAACCCAAAAGGGGGTTTCATCTACACTTTTTGCGGGATTCCACGTCAATCTGTAGGGGAGTAACTAGTAACTATTGGTTTCCAAGTTTGATTTTAAAACTTCCTTGTTTTCACGGTTGGAGTAACTTTCTGCGCCGTAATGTAAGGCAATCCTTAATTTTTGGGTTACGAGAAGGGTCCCGTTACATTGGTGGTTGTCCAATAGGGATTGTGCAAACTCAGATTGACCAACCCTCTATATTTTGAACTGCGCAGACGCATCAGACGAACAAGAACCTAGTCAAATGGGGTTTCGTTTTACTGGGAGCCGTGGTTTTAACGGGAAACCAGCGGGTGGCTTTAAAGGGCAGCCAACAGTACAACCAAAATCTATTTGTGCGGACCCACTCCCAAGTCATCCCCTCAAAAACGACTACACTCCCTCCGGCCCACTCCAAGTTACCGATCGACAGAGGGTCCATCGGATGCCATGGCAAGGCTGGAAGGTATCGGGTAACATGCTTGTCGTTGGGAATCATATTCCATTTGTTGATCTTATTGTGGTTTAGTGGTTGAAATCCAAATCCACTTAACTGCTAAAATACTTAATTTGTTGCTCCCCTAACCCAACCTCAACCAAGGAAACTCCGAGGCACCCAATCCTGAGTTGTTCAGTGGCTCCAATTATGTTTCCCCTTTTTTTGGGTGGCTGCCCCACTAAAAATGGTCCAAGCCCCAAAAAGGGTTCCCTTTTTTTCCAGCTTCCCTGAACAACTGAGAATCCCTTTGCCCGAAGACGAACACCCCGATCCCCAGCCGGCGCCGAGCGCCTCCGAGCCACGTGCCAACTTCTGCCAGGCCCAGCATCCCCCGCTCTGGCCGCAGACGCCGCAATCGCCCATGCCGCCCGAGAGCCCAGGGAAAAGCAGACCCAAGTCCCCGAGCTAGGTGCCCTTTTACCGTTTCTTTTTTGGGGGAGGGTTCTCCCACTAGAAGAGACTACAGAAGAAAGGGTACCCTTATTCTAACCTCTCT